GGGGGGGGGGAGTCCACACATGGATCACTTACAAAGGTTCTTAATGTTATGACTGACACACTTAATTGCAGAGTGTCAATTTTACCTCTTGGCTTAAACATGCATATGTACTCGAACACCCACTTAACAAATGTTTGCATGTGTGAGAAGTCAATAAAATACAAAACCACGAGATCAGTATTTTAATGATTTCCTACTACTAACCAAAATATTTAAAAGTGAACACCAGAACACCAAGTTATTAGCAGAACACACACAGTCTCCACCTAAACTTTCGTAAGTGCTGAGATAGAGGAAAGGGCTGGATCTTGAGGCGCACCCTCTTCCACCAAAGCAGCTGCAGCCCCTGGAGGCTGCATGGGACCCCTGCCACATTGCACCTGTGCACTCCCGTGGATGCCTGTCTACTTGTCTCACCTCTCCTACATGAGTGTAGGTGGCCCTGAAGGAGTTCTGCTGGAGATTGTATTCACTACGGTGCTCTCAGGCTCATTCCCTTCCCTCTGGGGTATATTCCCTTCCCTTCTGCAGAGAAGGTACAGAAGTGAAACTTTTAAGTGTTCATTGTCTCTCAAGCAATCAAAGATGAGTCTGCATAGAATATATGCCAAAAAGGTATCTATTAGCATGATCTTAAGCGGCCAAGCACAGCCTGGCCTTTGCGGTATGAAGGAGTGAATTACTTCAGCCAAGTCAGACCTGGGCCCTCAATTGGAGAAACCGCTGGGCACTTCTTCATTTGGGGGCATTTCTAACAGGCAGCGGGGGCCATTTCCCCACGCCAGGAACTCCTTCGGTTTAGGAAAGATCCAGCTCGTGTGACGTGGGAGGGCGGGGGTGGAAGACAGGGAAAGAAACTGACTCCCTAGGATAGTACCCCTTTAAAGAAGAGGAGCTTTAAAGGACAGAAGCGATGGCAGAAGAAGTGAATAAAAAGAACACGCAGACCACTGGTCTTAAGCTCGCAGTCACTCCCAACCACAACGGACCGCGTCCGCCGGGAGGAGGCGCGCAGGGCCAGGCTCCCACGCTACGGGCCCGGGCGCGCTCGTCGAGTTACCTGCTCTGCTCCATAGACCGTGGCGAACTGGACGAAGTCCTCGATGCGGACGAAGCCGTCTCCATCCCCGTCTAGGGCGTCAAACACGGCTCGGAGTCGGGAGCCGTCCTCCGGATACCCTGCGGGCTCGCTCGTGAGGGAGCAGGTCTGGCTTAAGTCCGGGGGCCGGTCCCCGTCCCCAGGACCCACCTCCAGCATCAACTCGCCCACCGTGGGCGAGGGGAAGGAAGGGAAGAAGTCGACCTCGCCCCTCCTGTGGTGGCTGTGGCTGAGGTCCTGCGCGAGGAGCGACGCGCTCTCCCGGCAACTTGGGGAGCCATAATCCTCTGGCTCTTTAGTCCAGGGAAAAAGCGGGCCGAGTTCTGGCAGCTGCCGGTCGCAGTCGGGGTTAGGTTCGGGCTCTGGGTAGGCGGCCTGCTTCGGCAGCAGGTAAGAGGCTCCCGGAGACTGTCCGGCGCTCAGGCCGGCCACGGGGCCAGGCGGGCCGAGCCC